TTTTGTACTTTGTTTGAAATCCCACTGCATCCTACTGAGCTCACGTGGAAATTGTTTGAACTATGTTAGGTAACTCCTATATCTCCGCAACGACCGCCGGTGAGACCACCGTACGAAAAGAGTCGACCGGTCCTTCAAGCGAGAGATGATGGCATAAGTGCAGTGTCCTTACTTGGAGGTGCTCCAACACTGGCTCGTCCTATAAACACGCGGTAAACCATTTTTACGATTCTTACTTTTTAAATCATCTAGCAGCTAAGTTTCAAATTTCAAACCTTCTATTTCAGACCATCAAGGAGTCAAAATCACTCTCCTTCTCCACGCAATGTGGTATGTTTGATTTCTTAAATTGAAAGTGTCCATTTACATCAACCTACTTTTTAGGTTCGGCATGTACCAGAATCACGTGTTCAAAATTATAACTTCGAAGTAAGCGGAGAAAAATCAAGTGACAACGATCGCCAGTTGTGTCCATCTCTGAAATTTAGGGTGAGATTTTTATTTTTCCCCTTCCAGCGTTGGAAATGGAGCAGAACACTCCGCAATCCAATATAATCTCAAAGAAAACGCAAAATGAATGACGCATTGTCGAAGTAGTAGCTTTAGTTGTTACACTGGGAATCATTGATTGGCCAAAGCTATAGAAGCCTTCGGAAAATGTCATTCAAAGGATAATCTAAGATATTTTGAGATAGCATCCTCTCCAGCGGACCTAGGTGCAAAAATGAGTCCAGTAATAAGAGCTACTTCGTTTCGAATGAACCTTCTTTGTTGGCGTTTCACATGTCGAGCTGTGGATCAGCAGACCTAATCAAACTGGATTTTCTCTAATGATGGATTCAACATCCACCTAGCGAAGCTAGCGTGGATTGAAAATTTGGGCTGAATCCGACAACTTTTTATTTGTATGTGATATCACCAATGAATGCGGGAATGATAGGCAATCTAGAATTAATGTGCATTTAAAGTGTTTTTCGTAGTTCGCAGTACCAGTTTCACAAGCTCGATCGTATACACAAGCTCGATTCATCTTAATGTTCGAGACAAATATTTTCGGAAAATGCCGCTTTTGTAATTATTTGGGGTCATCTTCGGCATTGAGAGTTTACAAGTGGGCTGTATAACTTGATGGTCTCAATAATTCTCCAACTGGACTATATAATTTAATGGTCGCAATAATGTTCAAGTGTGCACAGTCCCCTTTTTCGGCAGAATAGCCACCTACAAGCATTTTTGCCGCTGTAATTCACTGTACTAGTGCTCTATCGACCGTGTAAGTCGCAAATTAGAGACTGAAGGCCGAACTTCTGTCCGCGTTTTACAGCGCGAACTTTATCGCTGGAGGTCTCTATTCATCTAGCGTGGGCATTTGGAGTTTCCAGCATCTGCGAAGAGTTTTCCACTCACCAGCGCTATGCCTACCGTATGCCGCAAACAGAAACTTTAGGGATTACAGTAAATGCCGGAAAAGTCGTCGTTCTCCTGGCCAATACCAACCCTTATATCTTGGCTATGTTTTGTGCGGACTGCTGACCTCGGGAAGCTTTTTTGAGGTCACAAGCTGAAAGAGGAAATGTGGAAAATGATTCCTCTTAAAATTTATTTATTACTTTATGAAATATTTTCACATTTTTCTTTCCTGGTTGGGAAAACACATAATCCAAAGCGATTCCCTCTCCTACTCCTCTGAAAGGTGTGCATATTTGGTTGATGGTCAAGGAGCCTAACGTTTGGCGATGAAAGAGACCTATCGAACTATGCACTGCTACTATGGAGTGTCCGACTTAGATAATTTGTTTCACTCATTGCAATTTTCAGTGTCAATACCCAAGTTGCCGACGTGTGATAACCGGTAACGTATCATTCGTCTGCCATCTTTGGGCGCACATAGCAACGTGGAAGGAATATGATCCGAAATCGCCTTCATTTCCAATACTCAGCGACAGTTCTATCTCCACGGCACCGTCTAAAAGAAACGACGTTGATATCCTATCGACTTGCCCGAGCTGTACTGCTCGATTTCACACTCCATACTTAATGCAGGTGTCTTGATAGAAGCATTTATCTCTTCCTATTTTATATATTATCACTTCCCACTTTTATAGAAGTGGGTACAATCGGGTGGTTTTTCTATACTCATAAAGATTTTTTAGAGATTAAGGTGAATGTTTTAAGGTGCACTATGCACGATGTCATTCCCGACAACCCCAAGCTGTAAATCCGAGCAACTTGCGCTATCTGCGAAAGAGACGTCCGCTCCGATGTAAGTTGTTATTAGGTTTGAATCTTCCTTAATTTGTAGGTAGTTCTGTTCTTCCAGGTTGGAGCTGCAAATGCACTGCGCACTCATCTACTAACGCATGAGCCAAATGATGCCCCTTACCACTGCAAACGATGTCGCTATCGGTGCACAGTTCGAATGCACTTGTTTGATCATTTCGTTAGGGAGCACAAAAATACGAGGTTCATCGTTCTCTTTTTATTTTTTTTTTCATTTTTCTTTTTTTTCACTTACGCGAACGTTGACAGTGTCTTAGTACAGTTCTTCCTATCGCTAAAAGAATTTCTTTTGCGATGTGCTTACTGATTGCGATTCCCCATTTTGACGTAGTTTAGTCCTCGATTGATCTAGAAAAGTGTGCTTGTGCGTTTCTTTGATTTAGAATGGGCTACTTATGCGTCTTGTTTTGCTCGGGTTCCAGTTGTCAGAGAGACCTTATAAGGATAGGTTGCATATGCTCATAAGAGTATAACACATATTAAGAAGCTAAACGATTCGTATTTATTATCTGCTTTTCTAAAGCGGTCGGTTGTGAAGCCTTAAAACTTGAAAAAATTAAGGGCGTAGCATTCTCCGACTTCTCTCGCTACAACTCAAGCATGTTAGTTGGTGTATCAGCGGCTGTAGTCTTATGTATTTTTTTAAATAAATACTCAATTAGGATGCGCACTAACGTTTCTGGCCGCGTTATTCATTGCCTTTGTGGGCCAGCGTGGGATGAAATTGAAGAATAAAATGGCGCACACCACTTTTATTGATTTTCTGTGGTGTCGGAATGGAAATTTCACACACACT